GCAGATATTTTGTCATCGTAAAAATCTAAAAATCATTATCTTGGAGCAAGTCCTTTGCAGAACGTCACTCTCATTGCGGTGTACCTGAAAGAAACTCGGTCTCTCGCCATCTCTCCCGCTTCATGTACTTTTATACTCAAAGGGTCACTTATATCCTGTACCCATCTTCGTGTTGGTCGGCTCCTGCCCCAACTTCAGAGTATCATGACTTGCGCTATTAATCCAATCCGTCGTGGCGCTTGATATGACCAAAATATTTCATCTTCAAGGTAACAATACTAACAGAAATAACGGCCTATTATTTTGACATCGTAATAATACTAACACTAACAGAAATAACGGCTTATTATTTTGACATCGTAATAATACTAACACTAACAGAAATAACGGCTTATTATTTTGACATCGTAATAATACTAACAGAAATAACGGCTTACCAAATGGCATGGTCGTAAATCATCTCCCCGTGTAATCGCTGTAAGAACGGAGAAGAGAATCAATATCACCACGATAATAAATGTCCGTTTGCGACAAATGAATAGCAGAACACGGCACATTTATATTGAATAAACTGTTTGCAGCTATGCTATCCTTTCGGTGAAAGTTGTGTAATCCCTGTTGCTATCAATAGGTAGATATCCAGTTTGATTCACTCAGCTTGCTGCATGCGATCAAATCCGTTTTGAAAACGCAAACAACACTGGTGAACATGAACGTAACAAGCGACTCACTGGTAGGGAATGATTACCAACTACACAGAATGGATTCTCGATTTATAATAAATGTACTCAAAGCTGGCGGCTGCGTTTATCGACAACAGCTGTGACAGAGAAGTTAGTACACACATCGGCAATCTGTCCCCATCCATGCCCGACTCATGTTTGACTGGCGGCCATTACAACCGAAACTAGCAGACTACACACGCAACCGACTGCTGTTGCTGCTACTACTATTTCTTCTTCTTCTTCTTCTTCTTCTACTACTACTACTACTACTACTACTACTACTACTGCTACTACTACTACTACTGCTGCTACTACTACTACTACTACTACTACTACTACTACTACTACTACTACTACTACCACTGTTGCTGCTATGCTTATAACTTCTTCTTCTACTACTACAAACAGGAATGTTTTGGACAGCAAATAATATGGGGCCGGTATTCGGAAGAGTGCCAGTAATACTACTACTACTACTGTGCTGCTGCTGCTGCTGCTACTACTACTACTACTACTACTACTACTACTATTACTAGCACTGTTGCTGCTACGCCTATTACCTCTACTACTACTGCTGCTACTAACTACTATTACTTCTTCTTTTTCTTCTAATTTTTCTTCTTCTTCTTCTTCTCCTCTTCCTGCTCCTTCTTCTTCTTCTTCTTCTTCTTCTTCTTCTTCTTCTTCTTCTTCTTCTTCTTCTTCTTCTTCTTCTTCTTCTACTACTACTATTTCTTTTTCTTCTACTGCTGCTGTTTCTACTGCTACTATTACTGCTCCATCTTGTACATTACATCCATGTTTTTGTATGTTTTCAGGCCTTTCCGACAGACTAGCAACCAGGAATCGAATTGAGATTTCGGAGTCAGTGATATACAGAAGATTATTTATGTCCGATTCAATTGGGGGGGGGGGGGGAGTGGGGGTCAAATACAGGGGTATGGACTATGAATTTAAAAAAACAAACAGATTTGATTAAAAAAAACAGTGAATTATGTCGGCCAAATTGACATTTATCACTTAAAATTTTAATTGTTTTTAACTGGGAAGGATACATTAAGTCGAAGGCAAGATGTAAGCAGTAATACAAGTGGGACACCAACATCAAGAGATGCACGAACAAAAGTCCGAGACCGTGTTTAACCAGGACTAATAATAGTGTTGCAGGTCACTCTCAGCCTTCTTCACTGCGAAGATGGCCCATGATCGACTCAAAAATTTAAGACTGTAAAACTAATAGGATTTTTATTCTCCAGAATGCCCCCACCCCCCACCCTTTTCCCACTTATTTTTTTTTTATACGCTGTCCTTATTGTGCCTAGTTGTACAAGTTAAGACCCGCTCAGAAATATTTAATTTACCAAAATTACGGTTACATCTATGAAGGTTGCGTTATTTCAGCTGAAATAATCATTGACAAGATAAATGTAGTCTTTTTCTTCTTCGTTAATCAACCGTAAACTCCGCCGGAAGGTTCTGGGTTGTTCGTCCACATCTGGGCTTTCGTTTTGCTTGAGTTGTGTGTGAACATCTATTTTAGATCTGGCTTGTTTGCGTGCAAACTGAAGTCCCCCCCCCCCCCCCCCCCCAGGCAGATGCGTTCTAATTTCAACGGAGCCTTTTACGGCATGCATGTTAGGAAAGCAGTGTGTGCATTAATTATTTCCCCCTACATTGGGCCCCATAACCCACATCAGTGATTTAGAAAACCATATCCAGTTCAATTACCTGTCTTCTTCTTCTTCTTCTTCTTCTTCTTCTTCTTCTTCTTCTTCTTCTTCTTCTTCTTCTTCTTCTTCTTCGTCTTCTTCTTTTCTTCTTCTTCTTCTTCTTCTTCTTCTTCTTCTTCTTCTTCTTCTTCTTCTTCTTCTTCTTTCTTTCTTTCTTTCTTTCTTTCTTTTTCTTCTTCTTCTTTCTTTTTCCACTTCTTCTTCTTATTTTTCTTCTTCTACTTCTTTTTTTTTCTCCTTCTTTTTCTTCTTCTTCTTCTTCTTCTTCTTCTTCTTCTTCTTCTTCTTCTTCTTCTTCTTCTTCTTCTTTTCTTCTTCTTCTTCTTCTTCTTCTTCTTCTTCTTCTTCTTCTTCTTCTTCTTCTTCTTCTTCTTCTTCTTCTTCTTCTTCTTCTTCTTCTTCTTCTTCCTCCTCTTCTTCTTCTTCTTCTGCTTCTTCTTCTGCTTCTTCTTCTACTACTTCTTCAGCATTTGGAGCCCTTAAGGTTCATTGCTGCAGATATCACCAGCCTCCACTCATCTCCCTGGTTGGCCTTCTCCCTCTAGTTGGTGACATCAAGTGTTTGCAGGTCTCACTGGACATTATCTCTCCATCGTCTTCTTGGTCTGCCTCGCGGTCTACGACCATTCAGATCCCTTGTGTATATAGTTTTTACTTCTATCATCTGGCGTTCTCTCAATATGCTACAGCCATTTCAGTCTGTTAGCTCATATGATGCCAGTGATCAATGGTGATTTGAACAGATTATGAATTTCGTTGTTGCTTCTCACTCTCCATCCCCGCTGTCTGCATATTTGATGGGTCCAAAGATTCGTCGTAAGACTGTTTTCGAAAATTTGTAATGAGGCTTCATCTCTTTTAGTTGTGCTGCAAGTTTCAGAGCCATATAAAACGACTGATCACATCAGTGTTTTATATATTTTGATCTTGGTGTTACGAGACAGACTCTTTGATTTAGCAAATGCAGTTCAAATCTCCAATTCGAAATTTAAAAAAAAAAAACGCACACACACACACACACACACACACACACACATTTGGTATGCCAGACGGGTAGAGCAGCAAGCATATCGTTGTTGAAATTACTACTAATGTTTCAGTTGAAAGGACTCAGATGTTTGCTTAATTTTAATTTATTATGTAATGTAGCATCGTCATCAAGTGCTTATCAGCTGGCGTTGGCGTTCATGCATCTTCCCAGATCTCGTGCTTTGGTGTACTGGATCAATTCCGCTGATGATTTTCCGTCATACCACTATCTTAAGCCATCCACCCTAATTTCTCTTGCTCTGCCTCTGCCTCTTTTATTAGGGATCTTTCCAGTTATCGCGATATTTTTTTCTCATCGCATGACCAAAGAACTTCGTTTGTCTCCTTCCCATCGTTGTTTATAACGTTCTACCTTAACTGGCCATTTCCAGGCAATCATTGTCAGATATTCTGGCAGCCCAAGGTATTCGCAACATTCTTCTCAAGAATTATATCTCAGTTACTTCCAAACTCTTGTAACTTTGTAGCAGACACATGACAAAATACATTGAAATCTGTCGGGTAATAAATTATGAAATCTATTGTATAACTTTGTGTTTAAATGTGTTCAAGCGTTGTTTTAGCTGAGCTGTAAGAAATGATACCACAGCAATCGAAACATTCCCATACACGCTCTGTCCTTATTTTCAACAGCCAGCGAAGAGTTCCAATTCCGATGGTGCTAGTAGCAGTTTGATTCTTTGCCCATCCTGCCTTTCGCCTGAGTGTAGATCCACTGGTCACTCTCAGATGTACCATTTTCTCCAGACCATTATGGTCTGTCTATATTTGTGTCTCTGCACTGTTCCTGAACCAATACACAAATAAGGCAAGAATCCAGGCAAGAGTATGTGTCTAATTTTATACGAAAACGCCGCTGGAACTATGTCGGCCACGCCCTTAGAATGGATAAATCAAGACTTCCTTACCAAGCCCTCATTTGGACACCACAGGGGAAAAGATCTCGTGGAAGACCAAGGGAAACCCTACGTAGAACTATCATCAGGGAAGGCTCACTCATGGGCCACTCAAACATCCAAGACCTACAACAAATTGCAACGAACCGCCATGCATGGAGAGTCATGACCTCTGCCCTATGTGCCGCACTTGACACAAGAGGAAAGACTAACTAACTATTCCCTTATCCCAAATGGTTTTAACTACATTTTGCTTGCCACTGATCAGTTCACCATCCATTAGTCAGAACCCGCCAATCTGTCCGCCTGTTTCCTTCCCAACACTCACGCACACCTTAATTTAATATCCCAAAAGAACGCAAACTACCCAAACGTTGCTTTAATTAACACTTTGCTATCGTGGGCTTAACATCTATGGAGACGGCAATTGATTGATGATGTTCCCATGGATATTATTTCAACTTCCTGTTCCTCTCTGAAGCTTGCTGTTCGGTTTGTTTAGACCAGTCTGGTGGAGGTATTGTGGGCGTTGTTGAAGACAGAAACATATTAGTTAGACACCATGTATAAGCCACTGATGTTTTAGAGAACATGAAGAGATGGCGCCACCAACTGGGCACATGCGCCGCGGCGATGATGACTTCATGGGCAGACAAGATCCAGAGGTTACCTGTTTTCAGTGTGGATAAATGTAGTAGTAGTTTTATAATATTATATTATTTTTATTATGTTCCCCGTTTTTGTTCCGGGGCCCCATTGAGTGGGGGAAACAAGAATAGACCCACTGCCTCCCCAACAAGCATGTCGTAAGAGTCGACTAATTTGGTGTTTCTTTCCATGTCGGAGTGCATCTGCCTAAGAGGCAAGAAATCAACAGTCTGCATACAAATAAGTCAGATCTGTGAAACGGATTATTGTTGTTGTTATCGATCCAGCGGCGCTTGAGCTTTCGCCTTTTGGCCCAATGCCATGTAGTGAAATTTGCATGTTTTCACAAGCTGTTCTTTTCCTCCGTACAAGGTGTTCCACTTGTCTGGTCTCGGAGGGAGTAGCATTTTTCTAGTCTCGCAGAGTTTTGAGCACTCAAAGAGATGGTGTTCAACAGTTACGTAGGGGTAGTTACATAGCTGGCACTCTGGGGAGTGTTGTGGCTGTATTCTGTTTAGATGTCCGCTGAGTGGAGTATGTTGTGTTCTAAGTTTGAAGATGGTGGCCTTGTCCCTTCTTGTAAAATCGTTAATGCTGTCATTAGGATCAGGGCCAGCCATATATCTATAAACCTCTCTTCCAGTGTCTTCCATGGCCCATCTGTTCAAACAAGTCTCTTTGTTTATAGCTCTAATAAGTGTTTTTGCTGTCTATACGTTTGTCGCTGTAGGTAGTTGTTCTTGTGTTGCTCCTTTCTTTGCCAGTCTGTCAGCTCTGTCATTGCCTGGTGTGCCCGAGTGGCCTGGAATCCACTGCATCACTATTCTGAAGTTGTATGAGGTAATAGCTAAACGGATGTGCAGACAACAATCAGGTTCTGGAACAAGTGTAAAGTCAGGGGTAAATGAACAACCAGAACTTTCCACCAGGGTCTACGGCTGGTGCACGTGAACTATAAATAAGATAATAATGTAATGTACCATAATTTATATTTTTCTTCATCTTCTTCTTTGCGTTTGGCGGCTGTAAACTGTGGCAGAGAATTCTGGTTGTTCGTTCACTTGTGTACTTTAGTCTTGCTCTAGAACTTATTATTTGCTTGCTCATCTGTTTTACAGGTCTGGCTTATTTATTTGTACGGTTGATTCCAGGCCTCTCAGGCATAACATGCACCATGACATGAAACAAAACACCCGTAATTAGTTGAATTGTATGACATGCTAGTTGAGATGTAGAAGGGGTCTATCCCCACCCCCTCCCTTTCACAATAGAGCCACAGAACCCGTAAGGGGTATTTTGGCAGATATTCCTTCATTACATGACAGCAGGCTGTCTAACATTTTCACTGTTTGCATCCTCTATATTGTCATAATATACTCTAACTTTCCTCTATTCATGACATTTTCATTGACAAAAAAGTGTGACATTCCTCTCCTAGTGTACACAATCAGTTATTAGGAAATTATACACATATGTGTGTGTGTGTGTGTGTGTGTGTGTGTGTGTGCGCGCGCGCGCGCACGCATGCGGGAGTGCGTGTGTGTGTGTGTTATGAAGGCTTTTCTTCTGACAATATTTAATGGTACATAGTGCTGGCACCATTTTAGCCATAATTATTTTTTCAGCGATACTACAATAGACACTTTGTGATGAGTAATGTCACTGATTGTTTTTTTTTAAATAGTTTTTCAACAGATCTTTGTGATGAGTACCTGGGTCTTTTTGTTTTTCCAGAAAACAATTCTGTTTTATACATAATATATCAAATTTGTCTTAAGGTGACTCAAAATAGTTTGTTACTTCAATACTCTTGTCTGTGGCATTATTTATTTGTTTTCTCATTTTAATTATAACCCACACAGTATTGAATGAGATATTACTTCCATAAAATGGGTTAAATACTCTGTTCTGTTTTTTTTTTCGAACATACATGCATACACATCACATTACCAGATTACCAGATACACATCGCATGCCGAGTGGTCTATCCAATCTGGGTCTAGTACTATGTATCCAAAAAAAATGTCTGAAGGCTTTTGACTATATTTTAATTATTTATTTAAAAAAAAAACTGTTTATCTAAGGATCCAAAAAACAAATCGTTCCTTTTGAGGAATCCAGAAAAGTACCTCTTTATCCAAGAAATAAAAACATGTGACCATTTTATACAAGCAATCCCGAAAATAAACAGTCAAATGAGTGCAGAAAGTTAACTGTTTATCTTAGGTATCCAGAAAAGTAACTGTTTATCCAAGGTCCAGATAATTAATTGATTGTTTTAAAAAAAACATAAAATTAACTGTTTGTAAAATGTTTCAAACAGATAATATGTTATCCAGTGCCCATACACCTGGCGCAGCAACAGCCCCCTTGGAAGGAACTCAGTGGCCAGTTCACACTCAATTCTGCCAGACAAAACGCCTATCACTTTGATCCATCTGCACCATGCGATGATCTGGATTTTGTGATCAAATCCAGCTATGACCATCAAAGAGACCTTTTCAAAGATAAAAAAGAGGTTCTTCGGCAAGCTGAAGTATATGATGAACAACATGGGTAAGTTTTGAACTACATGAGGCCAAGGTAGGAAGTGATGAATTACTTCTTTTCTCAAAAAAAAACAAATATAAATAATTCCCTATCCATTGTAATCATCATCTTATGCCTTGCCCTATGACGTCGGCACCCAGGTGTCTCCACAGATCTTGGTGCTGGGTATTTTAAATCAATTCCAATGATAATATTCCACCATGCTATCGCTTTAGCCCGTCAGTCATTGCCTCTCTTGGTCTGCCTCTGTCTCTTCTACCATTGATCTTTTCAGTCATCACAGTGTTACCCAGTGTCTCTCTTCTCATCCTATGATTGAAGAATACTGAATGCCTCTATCTTATATGCGTATATAGTTTTATAATTTCACTAGCCATTTTCAAGCAGTGTGATGCTACCCACTCTATCTGTTTAATTATATCTATTTCCAGAGATGAGAAATATGGTTAGTTCCATCTCCAGATAATATGCCAATATAGGTGGTTATGTACTGGATGTAAGCTAACACGGTGAGAGTCTTGTCAGCACTGTTGGGGAGAGGCGGTGAGAAGAAGAAGGAGGAAGGAGAAGGAGGGTGACGAGAAAGAAACAAGGAAGAAGAACAGAATGAACCATTTCTGTCATATCTTCATACAGAACTAACCATGATAGTGCAGAACTAATCACTTTTGTCAAATTTTCAGAACCCCATAAATGTAATATGTGTATAAAACTATGCTTGCAGCCATATTTTTGTGAACCGAATAAAGAAACTTCCTACAAAGAAGATGCCTTTGAACCATCCTCTGATTATTACATGTCAAGCAAAGAAAGAGAACACTGACAGTATTAAAACCCTTCTAGGTAAGTAACACACTGGTTTGAAGTTTGAACAACCAATCAACATCATGGCACAAGGCGTAGTAACCCATAATTGCTCCGTACTTCCTTTAACTCAAGCCTGAGTCCGAAGAAGCTCAGCACAGTGCATAGGCTCTGTAGCACCGGCGAGGATGCTGAAATACTTTAGGTAGATTTTTATGAGTAACACACTATACTACATTAGTAACCAACATCAGTAAGAAACTAACAGCAGTACTAACTATCATCAGCTAATACCAGTTAATAACCAGCGTCAGTAAATGAGGAATGGCTGGTGAAGTGGTTACAATCTCGGGCTCTCATACACGAGACCCAGGTTTGACCCCTCGATAAGGTGATGGTGTGTTTTTTGCCGGGGTAAAAGAAAAACATCATAACCTGCACACTCCATGACAACAGCACAAGCGATGCCGATCTCAATCCTCAAGCCTTGTCTACACTGCCCTAAAAAGTGGTAAAACAAACAGTGGTGACAGATACAGTGAGTAGCATAGTAAACAACTAACATCAGTAAGTAACTAATGTCAGCTAGTAACCAAATCAGCAAGTGACTAACATTACTAAGTAACCATCATCATTGCGTAACTAATGGCAAATCAGTAACCAATATCAGCAAGTATCTAACATCAAATAAGTAACTAACATCAGTAAGTAACTAACGTCAAATAAGTAACCAACATCAAATAAGTAACTAACATCAAATAAGTAACTAACGTCAAATAAGTAACTAACATCAAATAAGTAACTAACATCAAATAAGTAACTAATATCAAATAAGTAACTAACGTCAAATAAGTAACCAACATCAGTAAGTAACTAACATCAAATAAGTAACTAATATCAAATAAGTAACTAACGTCAAATAAGTAACCAACATCAGTAAGTAACTAACATCAAATAAGTAACTAATATCAAATAAGTAACTAACATCAAATAAGTAACTAACATCAAATAAGTAACTAATATCAAATAAGTAACTAACGTCAAATAAGTAACCAACATCAGTAAGTAACTAACATCAAATAAGTAACTAATATCAAATAAGTAACTAATATCAAATAAGTAACTAACGTCAAATAAGTAACCAACGTAAATAAGTAACTAACATCAAATAAGTAACTAATATCAAATAAGTAACTAACATCAAATAAGTAACTAATATCAAATAAGTAACTAACATAAAATAAGTACCTAATATCAAATAAGTAACTAACATCAGTAAGTAACTAACATCAAATAAGTAACTAATATCAAATAAGTAACTAACGTCAAATAAGTAACTAATATAAAATAAGTAACTAACGTCAAATAAGTAACCAACATCAGTAAGTAACTAACATCAAATAAGTAACTAATATCAAATAAGTAACTAACATCAAATAAGTAACTAATATCAAATAAGTAACTAACGTCAAATAAGTAACCAACATCAGTAAGTAACTAACGTCAAATAAGTAACTAACATCAAATAAGTAACTTACTTTACTTTACTTTTTCCTTCCACGTATGCCGCTAAGCGTTGTGGGGAGATGCAAGTTCCTGTCGTAAGCAAGGCGGGCAGCATCTGATGTTCTGAGGCCATGCTTTTGGCAGGTTTCGGAGACCCCGTCAATCCACCGTTTCCTTGGTCTTCCTCTTGCCTTATATCCTGAGCTTCTTTGGTTGAAAATTTGTGATGTTATTTGATCATTTTTCATCCTGGTTAGATGTCCAAACCATTTCATTCTTTGATGTTCTATGTAGTCTAAACATGGTGTAGTTTTGACAGTGTTTCTAATGTCTATATTCTTTATCCTGTCTAGTCTGGTCTTATTCGCTGCTTTTCTTAGACATTTCATTTCACAGGCTTCTATTTTTCTTTCGTGGGTCTTGTTGATTGTCCATGTCTGGCACTGGTAGCAGAGTGTTGGAATGAAGATGGTGTTTATCAATTGTCTTTTGGTCTTCATGGTTATATCTGGATGTTTAAGCAGAGGTGATAGTTGGTATGTGACAGCATTTGCTTTCTGTATTCTTGTTTCTATCTCTCTGTCCATTCTTCCATCCTCTGTAAATATACTGCCCAAGTATTTGAACTTTTTGGTTTGCTTGATTTTGGCACTTCCAACATTTATATTCAGTGGCCTGTGTGTTCTGCTGATCTTCATAACTTCTGTTTTTTCTGTACTGATTCTCATATTATGTTGTAAACAGCTGTTGTTGAGAGTAGTCAGATGTTCCTGTAGATCATATTCATTTTAATATCCGTTTATTTATCTCCTTTCTAATTTTCGTAGCATTAAAAAATCCACTGCCGGCTTGCTAGGCCAGTCGCAGTTTAAGGGAAAATCTGACCAGATGGACCCCATCCCATCTGGCGAGCCAGAGCCTCGTTCGCCTGTGGCCTCACGACCACAGTTTCCCGGTCTGCACCACTGGGAGGAGAGGTTGACTTATGTGTACTGTGGGTCATCGGCAGGCTACTAATTTTCACTTTTCACCTCTCCTAAGAGAAGCTAGCCGACCCCAACCCTGCTGGATGCAGAGCCAGGCACAGTCCACATCTTGCAGACCAATAAGTAACTAACATTAAATAAGTAACTAATATCAAATAAGTAACTAACATCAAATAAGTAACTAATATCAAATAAGTAACTAACATCAAATAAGTAACTAATATCAAATAAGTAACTAACATTAGTAAGTAACTAACATCAAATAAGTAACTAATATCAAATAAGTAACTAACGTCAAATAAGTAACTAATATCAAATAAGTAACTAACGTCAAATAAGTAACTATTATCAAATAAGTAACTAACATCAAATAAGTAACTAATATCAAATAAGTAACTAACGTCAAATAAGTAACCAACATCAGTAAGTAACTAACATCAAATAAGTAACTAATATCAAATAAGTAACTAACATCAAATAAGTAACTAATATCAAATAAGTAACTAACATCAAAAAAGTAACTAACGTCAAATAACTAACATCAAATAAGTAACTAACATCAAATAAGTAACTAACATCAAATAAGTAACTAATATCAAATAAGTAACTAACATCAAATAAGTAACTAACATCAAATAAGTAACTAATATTAAATAAGTAACGTCAAATAAGTAACTAACATCAAATAAGTAACTAACATCAAAAAAGTAACTAACGTCAAAAAAGTAACTAACGTCAAGTAACTAATATCAAATAAGTAACTAACATCAAATAAGTAACTAATATCAAAAAAGTAACTAACATCAAAAAAGTAACTAACGTCAAGTAACTAACATCAAATAAGTAACTAACATCAAATAAGTAACTAATATCAAATAAGTAACTAACATCAAATAAGTAACTAACATCAAATAAGTAACTAATATTAAAAAAGTAACTAACGTCAAGTAACTAACATCAAATAAGTAACTAACATCAAATAAGTAACTAATATCAAATAAGTAACTAACATCAAATAAGTAACTAACATCAAATAAGTAACTAATATCAAATAAGTAACTGACATCAAAAAAGTAACTAACGTCAAAAAAGTAACTAACGTCAAGTAACTAACATCAAATAAGTAACTAACGTCAAATAACTAACAAACATCAAATAAGTAACTAACATCAAATAACTAACCAACATCAAATAAGTAACTAACATCAAATAACTAGCCAACATCAAATAAGTAACTTCTTCTTCTTCACTTCCTCTTTTACCGCTGTTGGTGTCGAGGGAGATATAAGGTTCTGTTTCTAGCTCTTCTGGCTGCCTCGACCAAAGGCACATCGTGCTGTTGTAGAGTTTCTCTGATGTTATCCTTCCATCTTGTTCTTGGTCTACCCCGTGCTCTACGTCCTTCTTCTCTTTCCATGTATGCTTTGTATGGTATGGTGTCACAAGGCATTCTCTCTAAGTGGGCAAACCATTTCACTTGCTGTCTTTGTATGTAATCCAGAATTGGTTCTGTGCCAACTTGTTCTCTTATGATCTCATTCCTGATCTTATCTCTTATGGTCACTCCTACAGCCCTTCTCAGACATCTCATTTCCGTGGTTACTAATTTTCTTTTATGGTTTGTTGTGAGTGACTATGTCTGGCACTGGTAGCACAGAGTTGGAATAAATATGCTTTGAATAATATGTCTCTTTGTGCTGATTGGGATTGTCTTATGCTGTAAGAGGGGGGCTAGCTGTCCCAATACTTGGTTTGCTTTACTGCATCTAATGTCAATTTCTTTATCCAATTTCCCATCTTCGGTAAATGTAGTTCCCAGATATTTAAACTCAGATTCCTGTTTAATGCCTTTGTATTCTATTGCTATGTTTAGATCTGTCTTCTTTTTTCCTACTGACATTACTTCTGTCTTTTCAGTGTTGATTCTCATATTATTTGTTTTACATTCTTCATTCATGGATGTTAGATGTTGTTGCAATTCCATGGCTGTATCTGCTATCAAGGCCTGGTCATCTGCAAAGAGTAATTCGTTGATCTTACTAAGATCTTTATTCATGGGCTTGGCATTCTTGCATATACTGTCGATGTAGGTGATAAACAGCAGTGGTGATAAGACACACCCCTGTCTTACTCCAGATGTCACTGTGTAAGGATGAGATGTTCCCTGATTTATTCTAACTATACTTCTACAATCCCTGTATAAACTTTTGCACACTTCGATGAGGTGTTCGCTTACTCCATATCTTGCCATTATTTTCCATAATAATTGTCTGTCGACTCTGTCAAATGCCTTCTCCTGGTCTACGAATGCCACAAATAAGTTCTTATTGTATTCAATGTTCTTTTCTATTAACTTTTAAGTGTGAAGATTGCATCTGTGCAGCTTCTATTTCTCCTAAATCCCATCTGTTCTTCTGCCAGCTGTGGTTCTATCACTGGTCTCAGTCTTGTTTCTATTATCTTGGCATACATTTTGCCAACATGGCTTAAAAGAGAGATGCCTCGATATTGACCGCATTCTCGTTTGCTTCCTTTCTTCTTCCACAATGGTATAACTATGCATGTTGCCAATCAATAGGGCCGTTTGTTGTACCCATGCTGCATTGAAATATTCTGTGAAGACCATCTGATGCTGCTTTCCCCCACCTGCTGCTTGGAATATTTATGTTGATTAATCTATCGACTTCCTGTGCTTTTATTTTGGAGCCCTGTTTGAATGACTTTTTCTATTTCATCCATTAGTATGGTGTGGGTTCTAACACTGTTGCTCTGTGCTCTTCATTGTTCTTTCCTGATGATCTCCTAGAGGATTAAAGAGCTCATTGAAGTATTCCCTCCATCTTTCTGCTATCTCGGGTGGATCTATCAATGGCCTTCCTGTCTTATCATTAATTATAAGATAAGTAACTAACATCAAATAAGTAACTAACGTCAAATAAGTAACTAACAGCAGATAAGTAACTAACATCAAATGAATAAATAACATTAAATGAATAAATAACATCAAATAAGTAACTAACATCAAGTAAGTAGCTAACATCAAATAAGTAACTAAAACCAGCAACCAATCACCTCAGTGAGTAACTAGCTTCAATGAGAAGCTGCAGTTTATGATATGGAACAACGTCTGTTTTAGGTGACAGAAAGATGTGCAGGCACACAGATAGACACACTGACTTATCTAGGGATGATAGAATAGATACAGCTAGTAATGTAAAGTATCCTTGTCCACGTTTTCAGGTGTTCTGGACATTTGGTGCTAGACCTATATTTTATAGACCAATAGGCTAATATGTTCATCATCACCGGCCACCTTTACTTCCCAGGACTTTACCTGGTGCCCATTAAAAGCTGGGTCAGCCTGGGAGCCAAGTTCATCCTGCGCTGTTCAAATTTAAACTTGCAAATTTGTAATCCACAGGCAAGGGCCCAGCCGCTGCACCACGGCGGCTTCCATTGATATTTTTGCGGGTGTGATGTTTTTTTTTTATAAATGGGTTGAGTTGAGTTGAAATTTCCATAAACAGTTTGTCCACATCTTCAGCAGCCAATACAGTTACAGTACCATCTGTGCCTGTAGTAGACTAATTTTATACCTGTCTCGCTTTTCCTTTAAGTATTAAGTGCCAGTAAGGCGATCTGCATTCTTTGGTCATGTCACGAGAAGGAGAAAACTGGAGTACATCGCGATGGTGGAAAAGTTGGAGGGAAAAATAAATGCAGAGAGAGACTGAGAGGGAAGATGATGGACAGTTTGACATCATGGTATGGAAGATCATCTGTGTCAGAACTGATTGAAAATACATGAGACAGAAAGTTGTGGATAGATATGACTACCAGTATCACAAGGTATGGAAGATCATCTGTGTCAGAATTGATTGAATGTGCATTAGACATATGGTTGTGGACAGGCACGACCACCAATGTTACAAGGTATGGAAGATCATCTGTGTCAGAATTGATTGAATGTGCATTAGACATAAGGTTGTGGACAGGCATGACCTCCAATGTTACAAGGTATGGAAGATCATCTGTGTCATACTTGATTTAAATAGTACATATGACAGCGGTTGTTTGTTGATAGACACGGTAAAGCCTTTGAGAAGAAGAAGACCACTGCTGTACTGTTCTCTCTAGACCATGATGGTCTTTCTGCTCTTTCACGTTGTTCTGGTTAAACATTTCAAGTATGTTGAATGTTGAATTAGGAATCAACATCACAGTACTCGGGACACTCCCATAAGTGCTCAGTCCCTATCTTCAGCAGCAATTGAAGAGTGTGTGATATCAGCATCATGTAGCCGGTCCTTTGCAGAACGTCATTTTCATCATGGTCTACCTAAAAAAAAAAATTGGTTTCTCGCCAGCTCTCCCACTTCATGCACTTTCATACCGAGGGAGTCATTTAAATCCTATGCCCATCTTCATGCTGGTTGGCCCCTGCCCCTTTTTCCTGGCATCATGCCTTCTGTTATTTTTTTTTCTAATTCGCTGGGGGGTTTAATATGGTCAAAATATTTGGTTTCTGTGATACGTTTCTTGGGATGATAAAGTGATATTTTCCCCTTCCTTTTCACATCCACATGGCTATAGACGATGTCCTCAGCCTTTGGCAACCTATTAGATTGTCAAGGCAAGTGAGTGCCCTGCTCTGTGATACTCCTTCTCACAGCAGAAGGCACCCCAGAGGGTCCACTTATTTGTGTGGATATCAGGCCCCACAGCTGTATAGAGTATGTTCTTTTTTCTTCTTTATTTTTTGTTGGCTTGAAATAGATTATCTATGTCTGCAATGTTGTCTCTAGAATAAACATCACTGTCTTTTATAATTCACTCAGCCACCCAAGTTTGGCTTGCACCGGTGTTTCTTTTAGCCAAAAGTTTTGCCTTGATCTGTTGTCTCAGGTGCTGATCGACATGTACATATGGCTGATTCCCGAATTTTAAATTACATATGACTGATTCACCAATCTTAAATTTGTGTGTACATGTGACTGTAAAGTCGTTAGTGTCTTGTTCTAAAGCATAAAATAGTGACTTTCTTTGGTCTGCCAATATATTGTAATCATCTTGTGCCAGTTTTGGTGGCTTTCTGATTGATTTGATTATTCTCGTCTTTTATTGATAGGAGACTGGTATAAGGGTTGTTCTTCATTTGCACCTTCCTTAGCTAGTTCATCAGCTCTCTCATTTCTGAGAACTATAGTGGGATGCTATCCACTGCATACTTACCTTACAGATTGGAATGTAGTGTCCAGATGCTGGGTAATTTTCCGGATTTGAATGCTTGAAGTACCACTCTTGCATCTGTCAGGGATACCACAGGTCGTGAAATATGACTGGTAAAGGCATCATAGTTGTGACAATGCTTTCCTGTTGGTATTTTGGCTGTCTTTCTGGTGTTATTTGGATGTTGTTGAGTATGTGATATAATACCGCTAATGCTAGTATTATATTTTGTTTATAAATAGGTGGCACTCACATCCATGCAACACGGCAAGGGTACAGCCGCAAGCCGCACACAGGGGGCTTCTTCCTGACCTCATAAGTAATGATGCCTCTGCTTTGTGATATAGATAGCTTTGGAATAACCCTGGCACGGAGTTGTCGTCTAGAGCGTTGAAATAAAACTATGAAATAAATATTTACTCTCATGATGTTTGCATTTATTTTACTATTTTCTTTAAATCAATAGTGGAATGCCTCTTGGAGAAGTGTAAAACCTCTGGCAGAAGTGTCCCACTTGCAGGGGTGGAGAAAAATTGGGTGCTTGGGCACATTGAACATGCCCCCACCCCCCCCCCCCCCCCCCCCCCCCCCCGTTCAAAAGTATATTTATAATGCAACTAATTACAGGTTTGCTGAATGCCGATGTGTTAGGCTGAAAGGTGCAGATATCACAACCTAGCTGTAAATCACAAAACAATCTACTAACTATCATTTTAGGGGCAAATGTACAAGATGAAAAAGAAGAAAGAGACAGGCAACATTTTAGGGGCATATGTACAAGAGGAAGAAGAAGAAAGAGACAGGCAATATTTTACGGACATATGTACAAGAGGAAGAAGAAGAAAGAGGCAGGCAATATTTTAGGGACATATGTACAAGAGGAAGAAGAAGAAAGAAGCAGGCAATATTTTAGGGACATATGTACAAGAGGAAGAAGAAGAAAGAAGCAGGCAATATTTTAGGGACATATGTACAAGAGGAAGAAGAAGAAAGAAGCAGGCAATATTTTAGGGACATATGTACAAGAGGAAGAAGAAGAAAGAAGCAGGCAATATTTTAGGGACATATGTACAAGAGGAAGAAGAAGAAAGAAGCAGGCAATATTTTAGCGGCAAATGTACAAGAGGAAGAAGAAGAAAGAAGCAGGCAATATTTTAGGGACAAATGTACAAGAGGTAGAAGAAGAAAGAAGCAGGCAATATTTTAGCGGCAAATGTACAAGAGGAAGAAGAAGAAAGAAGCAGGCAATATTTTAGGGACATATGTACAAGAAGAAGAAGAAGAAAGAGGCAGGCAACTTTTTAGCGGCAAATGTACAAGAGGAAGAAGAAGAAAGAAGCAGGCAATATTTTAGGGACATATGTACAAGAAGAAGAAGAAGAAAGAGGCAGGCAACATTTTAGGGACATATGTACAAGAAGAAGAAGAAGAAAGAGGCAGGCAACTTTTTAGCGGCAAATGTACAAGAGGAAGAAGAAGAAAGAGGCAGGCAACATTTTATGGTCTTCCTCCTGTGGGTACTGGGGCCCCATTGTGGAAAGGGGGGGGGGGAAGAGAAGACCCACTGCCCCCTAACAAGCATGTGGGAAAAGCTTAAGTCGTAGGGTATCTGTCTAAGAGGCGAGGGACCAGCAGTCTCTATAGGAACAAACCAGATTTGTAAAATGGATGTGCACACATATATTGACAGACCAATCGGCACTAAGTGGGTAATGTCAGCGTTATGCCAGCCGTCTTTACTTCCTCAGGACATACATCCTGGTACCCATTTTAGACTGGGTCGACATGCGACACCTAGTACCATGA